AAATGTTTTTGCAACAGGAGTCAGAGAGTTTTTTTTCCAGTTTTTTTTCAGTTTTAGGTTATTCCCTCTTTAATTCACTGGACTTTATCATTTTCAACATTTAGTTTCTTTGATTCTTTTTTTGTAAAGTCAAGTTAAGCCTAAATTTCATATTCAGTTATATGTAGTCATCCTTTCTCCATTTCTAAAATAATGTGCCCTTACTTCCATAGATTCATTATTTTAATTATCTTTCAACATTTTCTTTTTTTGGCGGAGCTTCATATTTTCTTGGTAAATGCTCATACAATTATTTTCTTGTCTAGCTGAACACTTAAAGCACAAAGTATCAAAGAGAGATTTAAAATGACTGTGGCAAAAACAAGGCTGTGGCAAAGTGCAAAAATCTAAATATTACACGGCGTGGACAAGACGAGGAACGAAAGCAAAGAGACACAAAATGACGAAACCCCCAAAACACACTGGCCCAGGACATGGGAAACAGGACTATTTAACACATGAGGGAGGGGAACCCCAGGTGAACACAATAGGTAATCAACACATGACAACACACCAGACATTCCCCCAGACAGGACAGAGCCCCCCCCCTCAAGGGACGGCTTCCAGACGGCCCTAAAAAAACATATATATATATATATATATGGGACACTTTCTACCGTGTCTCTGAGCTCATCTGTGTGTGACCTTGCTTGGAGATTCACGCCGTGAACAATTGACAGTTATAAAAATAAGAGTCAATAAAAATAGGCATGAAATCCGGAGCCTTCTTGGGGTGTGCTGATAGGCCTCAGACGGAGCTTCTTTAATTTAAAAGTGTCCAGTTTTTATGAACTTTGTATTTTACTGTTTTTGTTATTTTATATTAGGGATTGTGTCTTTTCCTTCCTAGTTTTCCTTATTTCGTTGTCCTCAGTTTTAGTTCATATTCCTTGATTTTAGCTTAGTTCTTCATCCTATTTTCTTTCCTTTTGAGATTATCATCTCAAATACGAAAACAATGTATTGTTATATATTATTATATTATATTAATAATATGTCAAATACGGAAAAAAATGATCTACTATTATATAATTGTTTTGTTATATTTTGATAATATGGTATCCTTACATGATAAATTCTCGGTCTATTATCAAATCTTTTGTTCCTTGTCTGTATCTAAACTCTTCTTTATTCCACCTTCCCCACCATCAGAAGCTCTACAACAGACATGCAAATAAACGTAAAACAAACAGAAGTACTCACCCAACAGACACGCAAACAAAGTCCAGAATATTCCAGCAGTTCCGTAAGTACGCGTCCGCATGGAAGAGAAATCCATACGCAACTATCTTCAGGAAACACTCGATGGAGAAGATGATGAGGAAGATGTACTCCAGGCTCTCCTGCAAACACCAATGATTTTCAGATTAATCACAGATTAATCACAGATTAATCAAAGGGACTCATGCTCCGATTCGCTCTGTTCAGTTTGTTTATGTTACCAGCAAATTAAACGCAAACACACACACACACACAGATACACACACACACAACGCACACACACACGTATGTACAGTATAAATGTACATATATATACACACACAATATACACAAGAAAATACAAGAAAAATTCAAGAAAATACACGCATTGTGTGTATATATATATATATATATATATGAGAAGCTTGAAGAAAAATGACGGAACCAACAAGCACATACACACATTGCGTGTATGTATAATATATATATACACACACACACGTATGTGTATGTTTTTGTATTCTGTTGTATGTTCTTGTATTTTCTTGTATATATTGTATATATATACAATGTGTGTATTTTCTTGTTGGTTCAGTCATTTTTCTTCGAGCTTCTCATATATATATATATATATATATACATACACACAACGCGTGTATTTTCTTGTTGGTTCCGTCATTTCTCTTCCAGCTTCTCAAGTGTTGAGTGAGGTATTCCTTTAATCTACCTCTGATTATCATCACCTCCAGTAGGCTCTTCTGTTTCAGGCAGGCATGCGCTGAATGTGTGTTTTAAATGTCACGGTGACGTTCACAGGCATTCGGCTGAATGTGAAAGGTTGGACGCCACCTGTCCTGGTTCTGCTGTTTAAAGGAAGTCCTCTTCTCAAAGTGTTTGTACTCATATGTACTCATATTAAGTATTCTGGCACAAATAAGTATTAAGTATTCTGGCACAAATAAGAGACATATTATAAACTTCTTTACTTAATTCTAAGAGAGTGAAATGTAATTAAGTCATCTCTTTCCAGGCAATTATTGTGAATATCTGATAGATTGCAGTTTATTCATGAAAATATAAATGTATAAATATAATTCTTTACCTTGCATATACAGTGGGGGAAATAAGTATTTGAGCCTTTGCTGATTTTGCAGGTTTGCCCACTTACAAAGAATGCTTATTTTCCTCATCAGATGGTTATCAGTTTTTGATGTGATTTTCTGGAATTTTCTTTGGGATTCTGTCTTTCACTGTTAGAATGTACATATGATTAAAGTTATAGATCGTTGCATTCTTTGTAAGTGGGCAAACCTGCAAAATCAGCAAGGGGTCAAATATTTATTTCCCCCACCGTAGATAGCTCTTAGCGCTTATTTATAGAAAACATATTTATTGTGTAGGAATAAGGTTTTAGCTGTTACACTGGTAGCCAAGTAACAACATTTCGTTGTCAAAATTCACCTTGTGTTTTTTGTGCAATGACAATAAAGGAAGTCTAAGTCTAATAAAGAATCCATTTAGGTTTTCTCTCCACTAAGCTTTTGAAAGTGCAACAAATCAGCATATTCGAGCTTTAACAGTTAGTTTGTGAGTCAGATTAATGTCATCATTAATCCTATCAATTTAATCTAGTCTCAGTCTCCATTGAGTGGAGATAGATGTAATCTGCTTTATTGTGACACAGCATGAAAATGGTTCAACTAAATTAAGTAAACATTAATGGACCAGCCATAAAATTATGCTGACTCATCTATTATTCAGCAGGATCCTCGAGGTACCAAAAATGATGGTACAGTTTCATTATCCCGGTGGGGGAAATCCCCATTCTTTGGACACAAAGAGATCATATAAACATAAAGACATAAAGAGGAAGGGGAGCTTGTTCAGCAGAATGTGGAATAAAACCTCTGAGCATTGACTGTAGAGACCAGAGCTTTTAGCCCCAGACTGCTCGTCTTCATTCACTGAAAAATTATTTTCAGACCACAAGAGATTTGTCTCTCCTGGGAAAGAGATATTTTCCCCAGTGATGTTCAGCTCAGTCTACCGGCAGCAGATCAACTAGAAGAACGTTGATTAGAGAACCAGAAACTCCCTAAACACAAAGTACCAGAAAGTACTTCTGATGGAAGTTAAACATCTTGGCCATCATAGGAAAGTCACACTTTAACTCATTGTCTGCCAAAGACGTCTATAGAGGTCTTTTATGTTTTTCAGCGAGAGTGTCTGGGGGACGATCTGCTAAAGCTAGTCCGTAAATATGGGCTTCTAGACAGAGTATGTAGTAACAAATTGACCCTCTAGGGGGCAGTGCCACTTTTGATGGGAGATGAGCATAGACTGTAGGCAAATAAGAAAAAGGGAACGGTTCTATGAGAGAACATGTCGCCGGTGAGACGCAAGTCCAGGAAGAACGGAATAAGGTAGAAACTAAAAAATTTTCCTGATGAAAGAAGAGAGTCTACTCTTTCTTTTGGTGTGTTCGGTGTTTACATAGTCATAGCACAAACTATTCTGTGGCTCTAGAAAAATCAGTCAAAATGCTCAAAAAACTCTGGCAGTATGGGACTCTGTTCTGAAAATGGCTGGCAGTCAATGAGGTCATAGTAAATTAATAGATAATTATTTTATCAACAATTATCAATCTTTTACATTGAAAACAGTTTGTTAAATCATATATTATTAATCCAATATTCAGTTCAGTCAACGGGGCTTTTCTGATTTTAACTTTTCTTTTATTTTTAATTACTTTTCTGGACTGTACTCACATATATCTATCCTATCTATCTATCTATCTATCTATCTATCTATCTATCTATCTATCTATCATCCATTCATTTCTATTTCTTACTTCCTCAGATGGACTCAGACTTTTGCTTTGAAGAAACTGGACGGGCACATGACGTGTTTCTGTATAAAAGGCCTGTATTGTGTAATTTTCTACTCCTTTTCTACTGATTTTCCTCTGGAGTCAGAGCTAAGATGGCTGGAATACGATAGAGCTCTGACCTTGCCAGTTGGTGAGGCTCTCGGACTGTTTGTGGTGCTCCGTTGCTATGGCGAGCGTGTTGAGGAAGACCAGGATGATCACCCACCAGCGGAACAGCTTAGATTTCACGTAGACTCTGCATTTACAGCGGAGCCACCGGTTCCACTTACGGGCCAACTTACTGACACACAAACGGGAGGAATTTAGTCAAATTATTATATTCAATTCAATTAAATTTTATTTCTATAGCGCCACATCACAACAACAGTTGTCTCACAGCCACGTCTTTATGTATAATCAGAATCAGAATCAGAAATACTTTAATAATCCCAGAGGTAAATTATTTTAAGAACTTTGTATTAACCCTGTAGTGCCAAATGTGTCATATTTGATTCATACGGTTTCTGAAATGTTTTGCGTCTGACTCCTTTTGCATAATTTAATGGTAAAAACTTTGCTCAAAATCCTATTATACACAATCAGATACACCTGATAACAGGGGGCAGAAGACTACACAAAAAGAATCTGGACTTATCGCATAGTGATAAATTATTAATATTAAAAATGTATTTCTGTTTTTTCTTTTTAGATATTTTGTTAAAAGCCAAATAAAGACTTCAAACCAAAAAAAAGTAATTTTCTTTTTTTTTTTTCTTGGATCGGGCTTTAAAGGGTTAAAGAAGTGAGTTAAATGAAGCAAACGGAGCTAAACTGAACTGAGGTGAAACTGAGACAGCAGCAGGACGGATTCGGCTCGTTCTGAGTGGCTGGAGGACCTAGAAGCTGAGAAGGTTTAACTTGAAGTGATCCGATTCAATTAAATTAAATTAAATTTTATTTCTATAGCGCCACATCACAACAACAGTTGTCTCACAGCTTTCCAAACAGAGCAGGTCAGACCTACTGTTACGGTCACTGACCTTTAGGGGCTCTCCTATCAGGAGTAGCTTTTTCTTTGTTTCAGTTCCACCTGGCTACTACAGGTGGAATGTGTTGGCGCTCGTCAGCCACCCCATAAAGAGGGCCAGACCAGAGATGTCAGGCCCCCTTTTGTCTCCCTGGGCCTTGATCTGAAGGGATCATGTCAGCGAACTGTCTTTGAGACTTTGGATAACTTTGCCGTGAGCTTTTGTGTGAAACTTCAAGTGTTTATAACTTTGTTTTCTTCACAGTGGAAGCTGGTAGGGGTTCTCTGCCATTTTCGTTTAACTACTTTTCTCCTGTTTATTGGTTAGCCAGGGAGTTCAGGTTTTGTACTTTGTTTTCAGTCCTTTTCTAGAAAGTGTTTTTATTTTATAATTAAAAGGGGGATGTTTTGTTTGTTGTTTTGGCCTTGGAGACCCTGAAGCTAAAAGCTTCCCTGTGTATGTTTGGTTGTGCTCCAGGTTTCTGCCTGTTAAAGGAAGTTTTTCCTTGCCTGTGTCGCCTAGTGCTGCTCATGGTGGGAATTGTTGGGTTTCTGTAATTAACTTCAGAGTAGGTCTGACCTGCTCTGTTTGGAAAGCTGGGAGATAAATAACTGTTGTTGTGATGTGGCGCTATATAAATAAAATTGAGTTGAGTTGAATTGAATCGTGGTTTTTCAGTATTTGAGTATATATATATGGATTATTCCATAATGAAAAACAAGATTGGACTTAAATTTAGAACAATTCCATAGGGGCAAATATCCTGATCGGCTAGTATAAACTGGCAGCCAAAATATGTTCCCCAATTTTATGGAATACAATCAAAACTATGACCTGATGTGTGTGTATGTTTTTGTGAGCATAAATATAAAAGACATGCAGAATCGGATTCACAAAGATTGATTAAGTACTTGTGATGCTTTATGTCTGGACTAAGAAATGGTAGATCGGATATTTCCAGGTTTTCACAAGTGTTTGTTCAACATTTTTGCCATTCTGGTATGTTGTATATTGCAGCCAATTGGCTAAAAAATATTTTTTCTTCTCCAAAGAGATTTATCTTAGAATCACTCGCATGATAATCCTCCACTGATTATTGGGACTTCACTTACAGGCACAAATCTGCATATTGCTGTTCAGTTTACTTTGCTTTTCTTTGTAAAGTTAACTGAAATAGAACTGGAGTCTGTCCATGTTGTTTGTATGCCAAATTACAATATTTTTGGTCAACAACATGTTTAAGTCCAATCGTTCACATGTCAATGTGCCTACTGACTAGTAGTGGATTATCAGCTGCATGGTGTCCATTTTGCCAACACTTCCAGTATCGGAGCCTCCATTCTCCATCGTCAGCAAACCTGAGGAAAACAAAGGGGGTGGGGGGGGGCAGCATTAATTAATGTTTTCCTCTCATTTTCTTCACTTACCAACATAATCATAGACCAAGTTATCCAAGTTTGACTCATCATGCGAATCCATTGTGTATGTGTATGTTTGGAGGGTCTCCTGGGAAGGATGAATAGTTTGATTCCTGTGTGTATTAATACCACGTACCGCCCGTTCTGATTTACTGTGTAACGTTTAGATTAATGGGAAACTTAATCTTTGGAATATCTGTTAACGTTCTCTTTTGGGAAACTGCCAATGAACCACTGTTTTTTTAAGGGTCGACAGAATGTCACCAGCTCTGGAATAGACAACAATCCCAAAGTTTTGTCCTCAGAACTGTACCCAAACTGTGTCTTAAGGGTTAGAACTGGGCTATAATTACTCACTTTAGCACAGTTGTTCCCTTTATAATTCTACTTTTGGGTTAAACTCTCTGGCTGTGGCTCCTCCTCCTCTCTCTGTTACAGTAGATACTCGTCTTCAAGCTCAACATCCACACTTTCTTATCACATTCCACCTAAACCTGCATGAATTAGGACCTGGCCTGTTCCTGTCAGAGCTAACTGGCCAGTAACACTTGGTTGGGTCCAGTCTTTCAGAACCAGCCCAGAAGATAAATGTCACATTTGTACTCTGGATCTGCTCTGGTTTATTCTCAGGCTTCCAGCTAAAGAACCTGGCTAACAATCACATCAAAAATGTTAATGTGCCTTTAATAGTGAGAAAGCCATGTTGCACCAAAAGAAGTGGACTAGTTGTCCCAAAAGAAGAATGAAATGGATCCCTTAGTGAGTGTCCTGGTTCTCACCTTGTCTCTCTTGATCGTTGTCTAAGACCTCGGCCTGCGAAATCCACTCCATGTAGCCCTTGAGGTCTTCATCCAGCTGCTGGGTTTCCCTCAGTTTCTGAAATTCTCCTCTGGATTTGGCCTTCTCGCGCTCTTTTGTGAACTCTCTATTAGTAAATCAGACAAGCGATATCAGTGGAAGAGCACAAACTTTTGTTAACTAAATAGAAACTTAAGCTTATCATCTAAACCTGATAAGGAAATGTATTTGACTTAAACAGCTATAATTCATAACTAGAGTTGGGTTTCAATTTCTTTCCCGTAGAAGCCCCAAAGACCTGGAGGTTTGGGGAGATCTGGGTAATCAGAATCAGAATTACCTTATTACTTAATCCCTTGTGGGAAATTCACCCGTTTACAGAAGAAAAAATAAATAAATCCAAATTGCTTCCACTTTGTTCCGACTCCACTGACAGTTGACTGGAATATTTAGGAATGGGGACATTTAATAACTTTAACTGTTGAACAGGTGGCATCCTTACAGTACCAGGCCTGAATTCTCCTCCTAAAGGGAAACCGGTTATTTTATAAATAATGTAGGAATAGTTTCTAACACCTGAGGCAGTAACAGACTGGGCCTCTTTGTCTGAATAATTGCCTCTGCCAAATGCATAAACATAAACATAAACAATAATATCATATATCCTTTAAATATTGCTCGGCAAAATAATTCTTGACTAAATGGGGTAAAAATATAGACATGATTGGTTGTTAGGTTGTGTTTGGTTAGGTTTAGATATTCTTACCCACTGAGAACACCAAGAACCAGGTTAAGCACAAAAAAAGAGCCAACGAGGATGAGAGTAGTGAAAAAGATCCATGGCCATTCCATCCCGATTGCATCGTTGACCTGTGAAAGGCAAAGCAGAGTTTTTTTTAATGATATAATTAGCTGGGATATGTTCACCCACAAAAAGAAATAAGCTGTAAGGAAGGTAAAAGACTGCAGGAAGTTTGTTCCACAAGGAAGGAACCGGTGAGCCGTACATTGTTTTGATATAGAAATATTGTAAAATGACTGCAATGTTAATACTTTATCTATGTGTTTGTTTAATGGTTTTTCACCTATTGGCACAACTGTCATGATTCTTGGTGATATTGTTGGTTTAACAAACCTTCAAATAAAAAATGGAAGTGAAAGAATCAAGTTTGGCGCCTGATTGAAATCCTGTGGGGGAAACCTGCATGTCATCGCAGGCAAAAAAGCAATAGCCATGTTTTCCCACAGCCTTGCCACAGTTTTGTTAATCTTTATTTTGTTACTTTGCCATAGCCTTGTTTGACCACTGCCATTTTAATCTCGTTTGTGCTTTTGCCACAGTCTTGTTTTGATACTTTGCCACAGTTTTGTTACCTTGCTTTGTTACTTTGCTCATAGTTTCACGTCAGGTTTTGCTTTCGCTCCATGCCAAAGTCTCGTTTTTGTTCCATAGTCATGTTTTTCACAGTTTTGCCACAGCCTTGTTTTTGTACCTTGTCTGGACTTCCACTCTTTTGAGTGTTTTTTGTTCCCAATAAACCCTGTTTTCTGTTTTCTCCGCGCCTGAGTCCTCCATCAAGATCCACCCTTCCTGACAAACTAAAGCTAAAGATTAGTTACAATCACTACAAACATTTGTGTCACGTCTGGGGGAATGTCTGGTGTGTCGTCATGTCTTGATTACCTATTGTGTTCACCTGGGGTTCCCCCCCTCATGTGTTTAAATAGTCCTGTTTCCCATGTCCTGTGCTAATTCGCTTGCGTCTTTCGTTTTGTGTCTTTCGTCTTCCGTCTTCCCATTTCACGTAAGGTTTTGCTTTCACTCCATGCCAAAGTCTCGTTTTTGTTCCATAGCCATGTTTTGCCACAGCCCTGCCACGGTTTTGTTTATCTCTATTTTGTTACTTTGCCATAGCCTTGTTTGACCACTGCCATGTTAATCTCGTTTGTACTTTTGCCACAGTCTTGTTTTGATACTTTGCCACAGTTTTGTTACCTTGCTTTGTTACTTTGCTCATAGTTTCACGTAAGGTTTTGCTTTCGCTCCATGCCAAAGTCTCGTTTTTGTTCCATAGCCATGTTTTTCACAGTTTTGCCACAGCCGTGTTTTTGTACCTTGTCTGGACTTCCACTCTTTTGAGTGTTTTTTGTTCCCAATAAACCCTGTTTTCTGCATCTCCGCGCCTGAGTCCTCCATCAAGATCCTATCCTTCCTGACAAACTAAAGCTAAAGATTAGTTACAATCACTACAAACATTTGTGTCCCGTCTGGGGGAGTGTCTGGTGTGTCGTCATGTCTTGATTACCTATTGTGTTCCCCTGGGGTTCCCCTCCCTCATGTGTTTAACTCATTGACTGGCAGCCATTTTCAGAACAGAGAGACCCATACTGCCAGAGTTTTTTGAGCATTTTGACTGATTTTTTAAGAGCCACAGAATAGTTTGTGCTATGACTATGTAAACACCGAACACACCAAAAGAAAGAGTAGACTCTCTTCTTTCATCAGGAAAAAAAAATTGTTTCAACCTTATTCCGTTCTTCCTGGACTTGCGTCTCACCGGCGACATGTTCTCTCATAGAACCGTTCCCTTTTTCTTATTTGCCTACAGTCTATGCTCATCTCCCATCAAAAGTGGCACTGCCCCCTAGAGGGTCAATTTGTTACTACATACTCTGTCTAGAAGCCGTTATTTACGGAAAAACTTTCGCCGATCGTTCCCCAAGCCACTCGCATTGAAAAACATAAAAGACGTCTATAGACATCTTTGGCAGCCAATGAGTTAAATAATCCTCATTTCCCATGTCCTGTTTCAGTGTGTTTTCGTCTTTTGTGTTTCGTCTTTGTCTCCAAACGTCATGTAAGGTTTTCATTTTTTGCACTTCGCCATAGCCATGATTTTGTCACAGCCATGCCATAGCCTTGTTTACTGTTTTTGTCATAGCCATGTTTTTCACAGTCATGTTTAATCTTGCTTTGATATTTTGGCCACAGTCTTGTTTTGATACTTTGCCACAGTTTTGTTAATCTTTATTTCATACTTTGTGTTCATAGTCATGCTAACCTTGCTTTGTTGCTTTGTTCATAGTTTTGTCACAGCCTTGTTTTGAACTTTGTCAGCATCCACTCCGTTTGAGTGCGTTTTTGTTAAAATAAACCTTTCGAACTACCAATCTCCGCGACTGAGTCCTCCTTAAGATCCACCCTTTTGGGACAATTTGTTAGTAACTACTCAGCTTTCTGCTTGATTAGCAAGACCTTTTTCTGGGTCATACCCTGAACCATTAGCTTACCCAGTAGAGCACGTCCGTCCACCCCTGTGTGGTGATACACTGGTAGACGGTGAGCATGGAGAAACCCAGGTTGTCAAAGTGGGTGATTCCCCCGTTTGGACCGGGCCACCCCGCCCGGCACTCGGTTCCGTTTATGGTGCAGCGCCGGCCGTTTCCCGCCTGGGCGCAGGGGGACGGTTTCTCATTGTCCACCGTGGCGATGATATCTGAGGATCAGAGGTGAGAGGTGGGACATTTTGGTGTGAAAATGCAGTTAATGTCAGTTTTTGGGGGTATAGATTTGTTAGAATTGGGCTATAATTATTCACGTTAGCATAGTATGCTAAAACTGAATCCATGTAAATGACTGATTGTCTTATTCCTGTTTAGATTGATATTATCCCCTTTATAATTCTACTTTTGGGTTAAACTCTCTGGCTGTGCCTCCTCCTCTCTCTGTTACAGTATCTATCTATCTATCTATCTATCTATCTATCTATCTATCTATCTAT